CTAACATTAGCTAATTAGCACAAACAATTATAATAGTATAATCCAATAGTGGCAAAACATCCAATAGTTGTCAAGATATTTCAGAGAAAAACAAAACCGTGCTGGGGGGCTAGACGAAAAGTCAGAGGATACATCAGGAACATCTGTGCAAAATGTGCCAGTCCATCGTGCAGATGTTGAGATATTTCATAGGATGAGTAAAACTTTATCCTGCTGCAGAGGTCAGAGGATCCAATATCTGAACCAAACTTCATTGCAATCCGTCCGATAGTTGATGAGATATTTCAGTCTGCACCAAAATGGTGGACTGACCAACTGACCAACATTTCCATCCATGAAGGCTAAATAAAGACATCAATGGTTGGTTTGAATGCAAGCTCCAGCATTCAGACACAATACACTCCCAACCACACCCTCACTTTCCACCTCGCTACATAAAAGGCACTAATGCCTGCACCGGCTCCGAACCTTGGCACTGGATGTGAATTGAGTGCTGCAGAATCAAGCAGCACTAATATCATTTCTTGGGATACGATACGAGAAACTAGATCACAAACACAGTGGGACTGATGGGAGCCCGGCTGTGCAGTGTACATAAATGAAAGAAAATGAATGAATGGAGGGAAACTGAACTCTCACTTTGACTCTGGACAGAATAAGAGAGGCAGAAACCTGTGGAAAACATGACGATGCCTTCACTGAGTCATGAGCTGCTTTATGAAAACACTGAGTGCTAAAAAATGTCCCAGCAGTGTGAATATGATTAGAATATTAAACCAGTTATTACACTGTAAGCAAACACTGCCAGCTCGACAGCTGTCATGTCAAATAAAAGCCTCATTTTAGACGTAGTCATATAATATTTTATAATGTCATTTGGCAGATGGCTGATTCACTGCAGCTTACTTCACAAAATTGTTTCTTACATGCTGGAAAATATTCAAGTGTTTGGGACGCTGGTGCGTTGCCATCCTGTAGAGCGCCCATAGCTGTGTGGAAAACATTGTTCATTTTACCCACAATGCAAAAACAACATATTTTCGCACCCTGTTGAGCTGAGCGAGTACTCGGCTGAATACTTTTTATGAAGATACTCATACTTTAGTAGATTGATGATGGATTAAAATGTGTCACTATTTGTACTTGTGAATACTTACAAACTTTAGGTTGCGCTTATTTTTAAATGTGCAACAATTTCGGATGAAAATCACGGACTTGGTGTGCAAAGATTTTTACTCGTGTGATCAAAAACATTGCTCTGAATTCTAAATAGTTTTGTAATTGGCAAATTTTAAATCAATGATGAACCTGGAATGGTTTAAGCCCCGCCCACTCCGAGTACGGCTGTGAGCAGAAATCATTTTGTTGGTTTAACGGAGCTACAGGTAAAAGTGTATTCACTCATCACTAATATATAGTTTCTGTTTTAGTTTTTATGAAGGTGAATGAAAGTTATCGGAGCTCAACGGCTCTGTCAGGCTTTATTTACTGTACTTTGAGGTAAATGAATGAGTGAATGAAAACATCAGCGAGGCAATATACACACCGTGGTAATGCCAACATGAATATGTTTAGCAGGTATAATGTTCACAATGTCCTATCTTAGTTTAGCATGTTAGATAGATAGATACAAGATACATAGGGACACCACGACATAACAACAAGAATAAACACTTAATGCTGCACATTCAGCACATCCACCCCTCCCTGTCCTGTGCACCCACCCATGGCGGTTACCGGGGTGCCTTGTTTAGAGATGCTACGGCAGATGGTACAAAACTCCTGCCATAGCGAGCACGTTTACAGGCCAGAGTCCATGCTACGTTTGCTTATTACCCCTAAACACAGGGGATGTCACTGGTTTTGGATCAAATTTCTGTAGACCATGAATATCCAAACAAAATTTAACAGCAAACCATCCATTGTTGAGATTTTTAATTCAGTGCAGCCATGTGTAAAACTGTAGCTAAGAGGTCATAAAAACGTCAGATTGCCACCTAAAGTTCCCCTCAACTACGTGAAGAATCCAGGCAGAATTCAGAATACACAGACTTTGATATTTACACCGATCAGCAGTAACACTGTGAGCACTGGACTCCCTGACTGGTCCCACTGCTCTGCACTGTGTTCTGACCCCTTCTATCAGAAAGAGCCCTGAGCCCCAAGATAACCAGTGTTATTCACTGTCAGTGCTCACTGTGTTAGGGTTGATCAGTGGATATTGATATATGATCATATGAGGAGAAATTAAACAGGATAAAAGAGAAATGAAGGAGCAGCTCGAGCACAAAGAGATAAACACGTTCTGTCACCTGCAGGATTCTTGTTCCAGCAGGTTCAGTTCAACTCAAAGTTCCACTGAAGAGGACCAACGGTTTTCTTCTTTCCCAGACAGTGATTCCTTTATACAGCTGCTGTGTGTGTGTGTGTGTGTGTGTGTGTGTTTTGGGTGTGAAGCATCAATGTGTCACCTGGAGCTGCAGAAGTCTTCTGATTTATGAACAACTGGAGCATGTGATAATTCAGGCTGTTGAAACACGTTCCAGCAGCGCACATATCACCTAACTACTCCAATAACACCGCACTAATATTACATTACATATTAAATAAATAACAGGAAAAATTGGATGCAAAATTCAGTAAATGTAATTTCTTTCTGCATGCATTTTTATTTTCATTCACTGTTGACATTTTTGCTACATGCTAACCTTTTCCAGCTGATTTAAGATTAAAGGGAACCATAATAACTATAAATATGTTGTTTTAATAATCGGACAGGAAGTGAGGGACTGAATCAAAGTTTCCTCTCCTGCCTGAACATCCCGCTCTCTGACCCGCAGCACAGCGAGGTTACAACTCTGTGACCCAGATGTCAGGCTCTGACTCTGCCACCCTGGGATCCTCCGTAATGAAACCTGGTTGCTGACCCAGTTTAAGTCCCGACACACAAAAGGAGCAAAAGTCTCCTACTGGGACAAACACTTCTCGTTCTTTTTCTACCGAACAAAGCAGAGCAGACAGATTCTTGGACGTCGCGTTGGCTCAGACTGAAATATCTGTGAAATGGACTGCAGTGAAACATTAACAGACATTCAGGATCCCCAGAGGATGAATCTGCTTTTGTGGATGATTTTACTCTAACACAGACGTTAACAGCTCTCAGAGGACTATCCCTCCAGTGCCAATATGAGGCTGACACTTTTGGTTTAGAGTGAAATATGTTGACAATTATTGGATGGATTGCCATAAGATTTGGTTCAGACATTCCCATTCCCCACAGGATGAACTGTAATAACTTTGGTGATCTTCTGACTTTGGTTTCTTTTTAATTTATGACTAAAAACCTGCAGAACTACGGACATTCTCAGCAGCCTCTTGTTGTTGTGGTTCTTAAAACACATGCACAGCAACGTTAACTGTGCATGCAACAAACAGCTTCTTTTTATACTCTAATGGGTGAGAAGGGGAATTTTCTTTGAACTGTTACTGACAGCTGTGTTAAGGTTACGCTCAGAGGAAAACTGTCAATTTACTGGAGAGTTCACAGCAGAAGAATCTGCGAATTAACCTGGATTTCTTGTAAATGCTGAACAACTACCTATTGTGAGCAAGTGCTGTTATCTTTGTCAAGAAAAACTTGGGAAATTATTTCTTAAAAAGAGTGGGACCCTGTTTCTTTAAATCCAGCACAGCGCGACCCAAGAACGTTTAAAGTAACCGTTGTTGATCTAAAATGAAGACAGATTCAGCTGTATGTGTGCAGAAAAACATTTCAGTGAACATATTTGTTTAAGTTTCCAAAAGGAGCAGTCGTGTTGGTCTGGTTTGAAATTCGGGGGCAGAAAGCTTTCATCCAATCAGGTGCAGCCAGGAAGTGTTTGCATGGCTGTAGGAGGGTGGAGCCCTGTGGACATGTATCTTTGTATGTTGTTGCCAACGATAGAACAATCTTTTATTTGTTGATATTCTTATAATGTTTCAGTTAGTTCTGTACTTTCATTGAAACTGCAGATCTCTTTTGGGTTCCGGCTCGTCATTGAGAGGAGAACTGAGGCTGCGCACACACACACACACACACACACACACACACACACACACACACACACACACACACACACACACACACACACTGTATTCAAACCACTTCAGGGCCTTTCTGTACAGCACATGTTCTCTATGGAAGACGTTATTTTCATGCATAGTGATGCAGGGTGTGTGTGGCTGTAATATAAGCTGATATACCTGAGGGCAAAGCCTGTGATTATTAACACACACTCTGCACCTGCTCAGTGTGTGTCAGATTGTGGCTCAGTGGGATTTTAGTATCACATTCAACAGCGATTATTACTGTTATTAGCAACTAAATATGATCCTGCTGCAAAGACTGATATAAACATAAACAGATGTTTAACTAAAGTCACTGTGTGTGTGTGTGTGTGTGTGCTGGGTTAATAGATCAGCTTGTACTTGGATGTTTGTGTGCACACATTCTGATGGGATTAAACCTGATCTGTGCCTGAGGCGGGTCAGCAGCAGGAAGGACTCCAGATCCAAACCCATATTCAAATTTAATGTCACAGATTACAATCTGGAGACACACACACACACACACACACACACACACACACACACACACACACACACAGTAGAGAATGAGGCTGGGAATGACACTGTCACTTTGGAGAACTGGTTTCTTTATGAATGGATTCAATAGGCAGCAGGTTAACCCACTAAATATCCTCTTTTCACAGCTCTCTACAAACACAACAGACACACAAAAACAGGAATAAAAGTAAAAAGGCCTGGAATAAAGCACGTGGACCGTCACACTAAATCTGACACTGGATCTCAAACTATTTAAAGAACGTGCAGGAAGGACCTCAAAAACCCTTCAAACCATCTGTCATCTCTACAAATGTAACATCTTGGTTGTGACAAACTCAAAATAAGTCTCATTTGAGTTCCTGTGACTCTTTCCAAGCATGCCAGACTCCTCTCTCCTCTCTGTGCTGCTCGTATCAGCTGAAACTAGAAGAGTCTGAAGCAAAAGAACAAAAAAAGAGGTGAGAAAAAAGTAAAGAACAGAGAAAGTGTGGGAGACGTGAAGAGTGGAAAAACACAGAGATAAAGACTCTCGTCTCATGAGCAGATGACTCAGTCCGACCGACGGAGAGGAGCTTTTAACGTCCTGAGACACAGATGAAGGTCAGAGGCTTTTTCCGCTCGCTGGAAACCACCGAGGCAACAGAGGACGAGAGGGGCGCTAATGAAGGCGCTGATGGAAGGGAGGAGACAGGTCTAACCAGTCAATAAATACAGCAGGAAATGAATGAAAACATGAATAATAAAGAGCTATATCAGGTCATATGCAAACACCAGGTGCATATGAAGCCGCGTTCCAGTGGTAGAAGAAGTTTTCACAGCACTGATTCAACAGAAAAAGACCTTTTAATGTCAAAATGAAACTATAATCCCTCCTACTGATCACTTTTAGAGCACAGAAAGGTCGAGCCCTGAAGTACATTTGTGACCTTTTAACTCCACTGACAGAAGTTAAAAACATCAATATTCTGGCAGTTTGAGCCCTGAAAAACACTGTAAAAGAGGAGAAAATAACTCGTAAAAATACAGTAATTTTCTATAATTAAAATGAAATTAAAAGTTAGCTTTGATTTTACTTTAAAAAATTGCCTTTTTTAATGTTTTAAAGATATTTACACTGTAAAACCAATGCAATGATCTATAAATACAAGTGAACTCTGCAATAATATAATCAGGCTTACATTTACAGCAGAGTGCTGTTATTATTGAATTTTTATTATTTCAATGTGAATTTTAAAAGTTATAAAACTATTATACACTGATAAACGTTTTTGTTGTGAAAACTTCCAGAATTATACAAGATATCTGTCAATTAACAAACAAATCCATGTAAAATTACATAACAAATTCCTTTTTTTACTGTTAATTAACTTTAGAAATGTAATAACAGTATTAAACTAGAATTTAATACTTTAATCTATTAAATAAATATATTTTAATCTTTTTATGTGAAAAAAGGACATTTTCTTTAAATAAGCAGTCATTTTATCATTATTAACAGTTACAGATTGTTCACGGGATTTTACATTAGACAACAAAAATGTGTCGTCAAGGGGCTTCAATCAATTGATGGAGAAACCCTAAAAATTACAGCAGAGGTTCTCAAACTGTGGTTGGGGACCTCCTGTGGAGTGAAACTACGTTAAATGATGTGATTTATGTCGGGAAATAACCAAACAAGCAGCTGATGCCATCGTGCTGACCAACATGGATCCTTCTTATGCTCTTCCTGTCATTATTTAAACAACAGATACTGTGTATGTTGTCGCTTTTATTCTCTAGCTCATCTATTGTATGAGCACCAGAATACCGAGGCAAATTCCTTGTATGTGAAAGAAAACCAGTGAATTAAAGGCTCTTGACTGTTACTACTCTTCACTTCTATTGGTCGGTTGAATACTTTTTGCAGCAGAAAGACGTCACACCAAACCAGTGAGCGTCTGCACTGATGTTTCTGTTCACTCTGGTTCTTTCCCAGCTGTTGACGGTGTGAATGAAACATTCAAAATATAAAAAGTCCTGCAGACGCTGCATCAGGATCAGCTGCACTGTACATTTAAAGCTGGAGCGTGGCGCCCTCTGCAGGCCCAAAGCAGAACTCCAGTGCTAAAGGAAAGTGTCTTGTACATTGATATCCTCATGTTCATTTTATAGAACAATCAGTTAGAGGGAAAGATGTCTGAGTGGATCATTAGCTGGTCAGCGTTAGCCGCTCATTTTCTGACAATACGTATGAATACGCAGCGATCTTTAAACATCCTCAAACACTCTTCTACTGGAGGAATAAATCTTCTTCCTTTTGCATCCAGACAGATTTCATTTTAACTAATTTCTACAGTTTCAGCTGCATTTTCTATTCCAGTAAATAAGTTCTATTGTCTCCCTTTATATTAGAGAATACACAATCACAGAACAACCTCAGTAATAACAGACACAACTGAAAATGTCTCGTTTTACTTAAACTCTTTTATTATTATAGCTGTTAAATCTATTTTATTGTTTTATCTTTTTACTGATACTCATACTGGTTCACTCTCTCTGCACTAACCTGTATGAAACTATGAAACGCCGTCACACAAATAAAGTTTGATTGACGTTTACAAAGACTCATAAAGTGGACGTTAGCATGCTGGGAAAGGAAACGAGGCTCGGTGGTTTTATACATCCAGAGAACATTTTATTAATTCACTTCTTAAAAACTTTATCATTGCTTTTAGAGCAGCGGTGACGTCCACGCCGCTTCCTGTTCGGGTCTGAGAGCGCCGCGGGAAGAAGAGAGGGACCAACAGTTGCAACCGTACAGAGAGACCGGAGCAGAGAGGGAGAGCTGCAGACCTCTGACACAGACAGGTTCTCTCCACCCGTTTACAGTGGAGGAGGTGAAGGAGGTGACGGAGGTGACGGAGGTCTGAGCTCGCAGCTCTGCGGGAGGAAGAGTGTAAACATGGAGGTACATCGTACAAAATACCGTATAAATACAGCGTGGCATTCGTGGAAAAAATACAGAAAAATATAAATACAGAGTGTCGCGTTCTCTTCTCGTTCAACAGTTTGCAGAGAGGAAGCGGCGGAGGCTCTCAGAACCGGACGGGGCGACGGCGGAGGATGATGAAGATGAAGATGATGCATGGCATTTCCTGTTGTTTGGACTGGCTGATCGATCGGGCGTACGAGAAGGTGTGTGAAATAAATCCCTGACTGACTATACTGTCCCTCCAGAAACAGACGGAGGAGGAGAGGAGGAAGTGTACGAGAGGAGAACAAAGAAACTACGGCAACAGACGTCATGTCAAATTTAAAATCCCTCCTGATAACGACGGGAAGGGAGCGTCGCATGATTACAGGAGGAGAGAGAGAGAGGAAGGGGGGGAGACGGGATAGAGAGAGGCGGGTCAGGAGAAGAGGACTTTGGATGAGAGGAAACGGGAGTCTTCGTCTCACAGTCCGGTGTCGTTGTAGGTGGGCGTGGCCACCTTCAGGATGCTCTGTGCGTTCTCCTCCACCAGAGGGCGCCACTTCACCTCTCCCGTCAGCAGCAGGTCCTCCCCGTCCAGAGCGTCGATGTACTGCATCTGCACAGAGCGGAGGACACCTTCATCACTCATCATCATCATCATCATCAATGTCCTCAGGGGGCGGACACAGAGGAGGTCAAAGGTCAGAGACGCTGTATTATCTGAACTTCAGACTGTATTTGTGTATTTGGTGTCTGTTTAGTTTTTATTGTTTTTATATGATGAAGAAGTTGAGGACAGATATTCCAGTACAAACATACCGACAGCCTCAATAAGCTTTATAATAACAATAATAAATAATAAACAACCTCAGACTCGTGCCGACAAATTTGACCACATTAACAAAGACTAAAACCATTTCCTGTATGTTTCCTTCGGGTTCATTCTGTACACAGTAACGTTTGAGTGGATGCAAACACATGAAGGATAAAGATAACTCAGGACCTACAAAGAGACAACAATAAACAACCACTAGAAAAAATAAGGTAGAAATAAAACTCTGTGCCTCAATCTGCTGCTGGAACAAAGACATGCAGACGTCGGGCCCGGAGGAGGCAGCTGAACTCAGTGTGCACCGATTGGACCCGGTTGGTCTCAGACAGCTGGAGTTTAATGTAACTCTGCCACCATAACTGGGAAATGTGCCTATAATGTAAAACACTGTTTTTGTTCAACTCAGTGAATAATTGTGACTGCACTGTGTGTGTGTGTGTGTGTGTGTGTGTGTGTGTGTGTGTGTGTGTGTGTGTGTGTGTGTGTGTGTGTGTGTGATTGGGCATGTTTAATGTCGTCAGCAGCAGCAGGTTTATGTGACGGAAAAGTGACAATTAACCTGACAAACTTGTTTACTTTCCCTGGAGATGTATTGTGTGTGTGTGTGTGTGTGTGTGTGTGTGTGTGTGTGTGTGAGAGGAGGTGATGTTAAAAGGAGACAGGGGGTCCACGTGGCCCCGGCAGCAGATGGAGGTCTGCAGGTGTTTCTGAAAGCAGGAGTGTGTTTTCAGTCTCACAGAGGGAAAGAAAATATACAGGGAGGGAGGGAGAGGGGGTGAGGGGGTGAGGGGGTGAGGAGGTGAGGAGGTTAGCGGGTAAGTGCTCAGTGAGGGGGGAGGCAGAAACGAGGAGAACAGAGAGTGTCGGGGTGTTTGTTCTCACACTGATCCGGACCGGACGGACTGATGGACTCAATCCTTCCCTCAGTTAAAGTGACGGGACAACAGAGGCTCAGTAACTAGTTAGAAACGGAATCAGCTCCACGGTTAAGTCAGTACAAGGCAAGTTGCCAATCAATCGTAATAAATGAGTTCTCTGCTGGATTACTGTGTTATAAAATGGCTGCCGTTAATGAAACAGTGATGCTGTGTGGCAGTGAGAGGAATCCTGGAACAGTTCATCAGGGACGGGGGGCATTTTATGATTCACACCCCCCTAAAGATCATGTGACTATTCAGTTGTTACTCAGAGTAAAGTTAGAACTACTTCAGGTCTGAAGTATCCAACAGACTGCTCTGCACTGTGTGTTCTGACCCCTTTCTATCAGAACCAGCATTAACTGTTGCAGCAGTGTGAGCTACAGTAGCTCGTCTGTTGGTTCGGACCACACGGGCCAGCCTTCACTCCCCACCTGCATCAATGAGCCTCTGCCCCCCCATGACCCTGTCTCCGGTTCTGTTCCTTTCTTGGACCCACCTTTGATAGGTACTGACCTCTGCAGACCGGGAACCCCCCACAAGAGCTGTAGGTTTGGAGATGTTCTCTCACACACACACAAACAGCCGCTCACCTGTTTGCGTACGTATTCCACCATCATCTCGAGCTGCCGGGGGTCCTCACACTCACGATTGAACAGGTTTCTCCAGAGAGCTGCAGCCAGCACACAGTCATCAGACAGGATTCCCTACACACACACACACACACACACACACACACACACACACACACACAGACACACACCACACACAGACACACACAGACACACAGACACACACATTAGAACAGTAACTTTTACAATGGTGAGATGAGACTCTGGTTTAATCAGCTGGTTCAAGGGAAATTGTATCTGAAAACACTCAAATAAGCACCGGCCCTATTATATAGAGTAATTAATAAAATATTTATTTAAATATTGGTTTTACTTTATTTTCACAGGTATAACTTAAGTCCTTTTAATATAATGTAATGCATTTGACCTTTAAATAAACTTCTGTACTCATTATTTCACAAGTCACAAATAAAATATTCAAATTAAAATCTTTTTACTCAATATTTTCCACTTGGACTGTTTTAGATGAATTATTAACTTATAACAACCCAATAAAAGTCCATAATATTTCTAACGCGTTCTTTAAAATGTTTTCGATGCAGTTTTTTTTACACAGTGTGTGTGTGTGTGTGTGTGTGTGTGTGTGTGCGAAACTCTCACCTCATCATATCCAAATATCGCTGCGTAGAACGTCTCCGTCATCGCTTTCGTCGCTTCCTTTCTATGGGTGGCATCGACCTACGTCACAGAGACAGAGGAAGCATTAAACACAGAGTGAAGCTGAGGATGATGGGAATGTCAGTTGTTGTATTTGTCTGCACAATAACACTGCACACAGTCCACTGTGTGTCCTCAGTGAAGAGAGGGACAGTGGAGTTGCTGTAGAGTTTCAACCGGTCGCTGCAGTAATTATGAACACGGAGAAAATGACCAATGTTTTCACTGCTTCTTCCCACAATTAACATGAAACCTAAGACGAGCTCCAATCACTGGTCCGGGTGGCGGTTTGTGCTGCTGGTGAAGAGCTATATGAGGAACATTGTGTGTATGCTGTGCTGGTTCTTCAGTTAGAGACACACACAGACAGACACAGACAGACAGACACTCTTCATGCTTCAGCCCTCCAGAATGAATAAAACATGCAATATTAAAGTGCAGCGCTCTCAGCTCTCAACCTAAATCCACTCTTATAATCCAAACCACAACTGTGTCAGTGTTCTTTGAGTACAACCCACTTGTCCTTTAAAAGGTCAGAGGTCAGACTCTCCTTTTATTATCATTACTTTCTTCTTTCTCTCTTTTGCATTCCAACTTGTGACACATGTGATTGATGATTAGTTGGTACGAGTGAGCTGAAGATGGATCTGTGGCCAGCTGTTAAGGTTAAATTTCAGACAGAAATTAGAGCTTGAGCTTTTTACTTCTGTTCAGTTCTTCCTGTAACAGTTAACGCACTCAAACACGGACGTATTAGAAGGAAAATGGATCACAAATGAATGCTCCATCGACAGACTCTGACCTACTGATAATTCCTGAACTACTGCAGCTGCTTTAGAGCAGCACTACGGACTGATCAACATGCACATGTGAAGTCACATTGTAAGCACCATATGATTAAACCCTGTATGCTCTACAACTGAGTACGGTCGCACATCTGCAGCGAACAACGCTCATTAGTCCACATCTGCAGCGAGTCAGCCATTCTGTTTGTCTTTGTTAATCGTCACATTCGAGGTGACGCCGTCGTAAATGACAGTTTTTAAGACAAACCCAACGGCAGGTGATGTTTGCGTACAGTTGGACACTAATCGCTAACCCGGCTAATCCGACTGCTGAGCTGCCATAACTCCGCAGGTAAAACCCGAGCTCTAGAATTTATTTTATTTTTTATTATTTTTATAGACATAAACTGGGGATTTTCACAGTAATTGTTTGGGTCACAGGACCAAACGTCCTGTACCGAACAGCTTGGGACAAACACACGAACCCTCACACCCCGACACCCCAGTGGACTAAACTGTTTCCATAACTTTGTTTCTCTGATTTCAAGAAGAATCCAACCGGGTGGCGGGCATCAATAATAAGTATATAGAAATATCTTCTCTCTGATGGTCTCTTGTTTGTTTGTGTAGGTCATATAGAGGGATCAGCATTAAACTGAGACTGTTTCATAACCAGGCACACACCGCTTGTAGAATCTTTAAGGGTTGTGTTGACGTCAAATTGATGAAGATTCTTTAATTCACAGTCACGTGTGAAGGCCTGTGCCAGCACGTAAGGATATATGCAAGTGTATGTACACATGCTGACAAAAGTTCACATATGCAGCTGTGAAAACACCTACCCCACACACACACACACACTTCCCCCCTGTGCTCCGCCCAATGCATGCATGCACACACACCAAGAGTGACCTCACAAACCGCACTGTAATTTCTCATCTCTGACCTCTTTCTGTCACACAAAGCCAAATGAGCAAAACTAAAGAGCTCATATGTGTAAAGCCCTCTGAACCTTGGCTCCAGTTCAACCATCCTGCTGCAGTTCAACATCACGGAGAACACAAGTTTCATTTCTGTGTCCAGCTGCCACCGAGAACAGTGTCAGTCTATATACATTCACACTGCAACCAAAGTGACTGACTGACCCCAAACTGCACCTCCAGTTCATCATTTAATTTAATTTAAAGTAACCCTGTATCTGAACTCACTCCCTGTTTAGGAGTGGAACGACTGGTGATCGTATATTGGCGACTGAAGGGAGGATTGGTCCTTCCTACAGAGATATTGAGGCAATCTGAACTGAATAATCTCTACAATCTGTAACCTACTGTGCATTTAGAGAGTTTCTGGTGGAGCAGCATGTCTCACTGAGCCCCGTTAATCAGAACGAGTGAATTTTAAATCCTTAATTACAAAGCAGTTTGTTCTCCATATTCCTGCTCCCTGAAACTGCTCTGCGCTCCGGAAGACTCGTTAACATCGTGGATATGATTGTGATGTTAAACAGAACATCATGCTGTGATACTGTCACACACATAAACAGAGTTCCCACTCTTTTTAAGAAATCATTTTCTTGACAATATAATAAAGACAGCACTTGCTCGCAAAGGCTCATATAATTTAGCAGTAGCCCGTGTAAGTGGTCAGCGTTTACGGGACTCTTTTGTGACGCACGTGGCTGTTCTCACCACAGCTCATTTTTCTGCCGTCGTCTCAGGAGAGCGATCTCCTGCCAGCTGACTACACTTTAACTCTAATTCCTCTAATTCAAGTAGAATTTACTTTATTCTACAGAAAATTCATCAGTTTTCCCCCAAATACCAAATAATGGATTAACTTTTGTTATTTTTGTTCATTCAATGAGAGATTCAATCTTCTACACTGAAGACACCTGATCATTTTATTTTTATATGAAGTAAAGTTCAGTGTAAATGCATTACTCACTGTCAGTTCAAAAAGGCACATAATGACTTGATTAGGACTTGTTGGACTCAGTTTGCTGCTCACTGGATTAAACCAGGTGATACATACATACTGCTGTTGGGTTGTAACCTGCCACAGTAAAACAACACAAATACACAAGTAACTGCACTGTTTTCTCCTGTATGAACTCTGAGTATAATTTGAGTCTTTCTGAGAGCGACATGTGAGCGAAAGCCAAGATTGAAGTCTGTGATGTCAATGAGCGACACTTCCTGGAGCTGCTCCACTGACGAAGAATAGAGGAACAACTCTGTGGCCACGGCGACCGCAGCCAGGCTCGCTCTCCGGGGATTTGGCTTCACTCTCTGCTTGAGAACTGCTGGCACAATTATGCTGATGTAAAACCTTAAATAAACAAAACCTGCATCCTATGTAGCATGCAATGGCACGAATAAAACTTCATGCACTGTTGCATCAGCCCAAAGCGGAAACCTTTCCAAAATAATGAATATTTATTCAACAGAATGACATTCAGTTGTTGTCAGGCAGAGGTACAGCACTGCTGCAGTCACACCTTTACTTCACTAATAATCTGTTAGGACGATCAAACAACAAACTTCTGTTGAACAATAAATCAATTCATTGTTTAAGTCATTTTTTAAACCACTAAATAAAAAGCATTCTGCTGGATCTTTGGCTTTTGGACTTGTGGTCAAAACAAGACATCTGAAGACGTCAACTTGATCATTTTTCATTTAATTCTGATGTTTTATCGACAATCTAATCAAGGACTGTGCGATATGAGGATATATATCATGTGAAAAATGTCTATCATTTCATATTTTGCTCATTTACTTCCCTGCATTACAAGTCACATCTTCCCGAGTTCATATGAGATGAATATGCGTGCAACCAATCAGTGGTCTGCAGCGTTCTCACGTCACCTTTTAATATCAGCTCAGCTCGTTTGAAACCTCGACTGAGGCGAACCAGGTGCTATCCATAACAGCAAACCACAAAAGAGAGAGTGAATGCAGCTTTAGAAGGGCCTTAAAAAGACTAACTTTATGATAGTACTGTTGTGTTTGCACTGTTTGTACTGTGTGGCTCCTTCGTGTGTTGCACATCACCCTCCCAGGGATAAATAAAGGCCGTCTATACAGATGTATTGATCTATCTGTAGACACTTGGCTCAACTATGTTTCCATGATGCTGCATACAGTGGAATTATTGTCACATGATATTAGTGGTACACAGACTATATATAGTAAACAGTGACCCTGTGAGTTATCAGAGGCACGCTGTGCATCCGGCTATACGTGCACTGCACTGTAATGTGTTTATGGTGCAAATGCAGTTCCATGATGTTGTGGGTTTAACCCTGGTGAATGACCTGATGGTTACACGCACACGCACACGCACACACACACACACACACACACACACACACACACACACACACACACACACACACACACACACACACACACACAGAGAGAGAGAGAGAGAGAGAGAGAGAACTTACCCCCAGTATTTTGCTCCTCTGCTCCACATCCTCCCACATGGAGTGGACGATGTAACGGCACATGTACTTTCCTGCTCTGCCCTCCTGACGCATCCGAACCAAACACATCCTGACAAAAACAAAGGATGTAAAAGTAAGAAAAGAAAGCACATGACAGGAAAAACTGAAGGGATCAGGAGACGGCGGGGAAGAAGAACAACTCACCACACGTGCAGCTGCGCTACCAAGAACCACGAGTTGAGTGTGTCGGGGAGGGCGCACTCTGAAACACACAGTTACAGTTACACTACATCAACTATCAGTCCGTTAATCCATTCATCCATCGACAGAAAATGACTAAAGGAAAGCTGAGAGTTCTTGAAAACATCTGGAGGAGCTTCATGGAGTTTTTGACACAAAATGTTGGTAATGATGGAGCAACAGGTTTATGATTGTAAAGTGTCTCCTCCTTCCTTTATTACTGCATCATCCATGTATTTACCTTTAATTACTTTTTTAAATTAGTATTTATTTATGTGACTTTTCACTTGATGATTCACTGTTATCGCCTCCAGAGCTGTCTATTGTATTTTATTAATTTATTAATATGCACTCTCATATTTTAAAATCACAAGAAAAATAATTAAAAGAAACAGAAAATTAATCTGCAACTTCGTAATAATTGATTTTTCGTTTTTAGTCATTTGTCAACATCTTTTTTCTCCAACTTCTCAAAAGTGTAGATTTTCTGCTTTTCTGTGTCTAGTGTGATATTAGACTAAATATATTTGTTATGTTTGCCACCTTTCACTGTGTATTCTTTCCTCAGTTTCCTGATTCGCTCTACCGGAGTTGGATCTGCACTTACTTTCAAAGAAATCGTCGTAATTGATTCTCTCTACGCAGCACGTGTACATGCGCAAAGCAGCAATCTTGATTTTCTGTGAACACAAAAGAGAAAATATTAGTAACATCGTAAAACATCCTCAACAGAGATACTGCAGCTATAAGACATATTTATTGTACAGTGACATTTCAGGATCCATAATTAATAAGTAATTGGACATATAGTCTGTAGAAGGTTTTCTGAGAGTGGAAAGTTTCTCTGAGCTCACTGAAGATGGACAACATGGTTTCACATTTATCCTCTCGGTCTGAACCCACTGATTTCTGTGATTACAGCCACAGTGCTGATAGCTGTGGTCGGCTGCCACAAACACACATTTAACAACCGTACGGAGCAAACGAGAGAACAGAAAAGCAACACAAACCTCGTATTTAAAAACAGGAAATGAGGTCAGAGGTGTGTAACTGCTCGTACCTAACGTTTCCAAGCCGGCGTGAAGCCCAACACTTTGCTAGATGACACAACAACACACATTCCTCTGCACGTACGCCACCTCTCTCACGGTTGGGCCAAAACCTCCCACGTAACCGAACCCTGCCACGGCTGTAAATGTTTCTGCTGTACCGACTCTTGGAAGCGAACTCACCACCAGGGTCTGATGCAATGGATGCCACCAGAAAACAGACACATCCCTGAACATCATTAACAGCACTTTAATGATTTCATTCAGCTTCTGGTGCTCTACATAATACTCGCCTTACCAACCGTCTAGGCATCTAAATTTCAACCTATTACCTGAACCGATTGTTGGACATGTTAACAATTAACAGTCAGTTAAGTAAGTAATGCCTGATGAGGTGTCCACCAGGACAGTTGCCTCCACACAGTCCATTAATTCTGATTACTGGTAACACCTGAGGTCCTTCCTAATACCTGGAAGAATCATTACCATCCCGTAAGGTTCTAATACAACAGAAACGTTGTTCACTACTCCAGTAAATAGGAAGAACCACAGATACAACTTGGCAACGGGAGATATTTCTAGTTCCCTCTGCTCAGAGTGTTTGACTCAGCTATGAGCCACAGAAGTCAATAACACTGCGTACGATAAACGGTAAATAGAACGGGGCGCAGTGGAAACGTGTTCTTTGGAGCGACTATCTGGTAACTAATGTTGGTTTTGTTGTAAAGTTTGGGGCTGTTGTTCAGGGTTTGGGTCCCTGCTCTTCTACACTACTGGTCAATATATTTGTAAATATATTTGTCAATATCAAATAGATCTGATTGTTAAGGGCGATTAATAGATGATCAATTAATCGTTGACACCCCAGTCACAAACTTATTTAAGTAAATTGCAGTGGCCACAGTGGGTAACGTTCACATTTTATTGATCCACTATCAGTTCCCGTTCATGTTGCATCCTGAATATGTTCAAATATAATTGTTAGCTCTGGTCTGAAAACACCCACATCACACATCACAGTCAGTGTGAAAGAGTGTCCGTCCTGCTGTATGTGCGTATAGGTTTACATGCTGTGAAGAATATTCCTGGACGACAGCCCATAATTTAAGCTTCCTGCTGCGAGGTCGGAGCTCTCCTGTCGTCCTCTGACTGCCACACACACACACACACACACACACACACACACACACACACACACACACACAGACACACACACACATACATACACAGACCCAGACACACGACACACCGACACACCGACACACACAGCACACACACACACAGGTAACACACACACACACACACACACACACACACACACGCGCTCTGAACACTCGCAAACGCTCAATTAGCATTTCTGCCTAATTAGCGAGGGCGGCTCACCAACATCATCCATCTGCTGTTACCTAAGAATTTATCATTTGGGTTATTTTTCTATAAATAACAGTCAGTGATTATCACCTTACGTATATATTCCCCCCCCCAGGGTGTTGTTGACATGTTCTTTCTCAGCCAACAGGTTAAATAAGGGGAAAGGTGCAGCTGTTATTGTATCTGAACATTTTCACTCAGTGTACATTACAGTCGCTGGGCTGACTCTCACACTCACCCTCTTCCTCCAGCCCAACTCTCTCCTGTTCCCACCTCTTATTCAGTGTCTATTACAATGTCCACTGCTGCTTTCTCCTTTTCATTTTCCCTCCCTTTGTCTCCTCCATCCTTCACATTCCCAGCATTACTCACCCATTTGTTGTATTTGAGAGGTCCAGTGAAGCCCATGGCCTCGATGAGCTTCGTGAAGGCCCCGACTTCTTCCTCCGTGTGCTGGGGCGTCTCCTTCACATTGTAGAGCTGATGGGAGAGAAAGGGAGACGCGGTGAGGGGGGAGGATGGGAGAGGAGGTGACAGGGAAATTAAGAGGGAAGAGAAAAGAAATGTAAGAGAGAAAGGAAGACAGAAGATAAAAGATGCTTTGAAGGAGTGAATACAGCCGTTGACTGAGCCCTGATGGATCCTGTACTCTCGCTGTACAACCCTCATTAAGGCAGCAGCACATACAGCCTCAGTATGACGACACACACCTGGGGAACGTTGGCCTTTACCGGGCCAGTGCAGCTGTTGAGTAAATTAATATACTGACCTATTCTAAGCTGCATGATGTCTTCATGCCCTGACAGTTTTATTACTGCCACCGTGACCCCAGTTACCCTTCATCAGTGCCTGCAGAGGTCGAGCTTTAAAATCACTCCTGTTGCTCTTTCTAGCTCTTTTTTTTTTGCCATTATGTGTTTTCAGTTTCTTTTTTTTATTGTATAACTGAGCTGATGTATTTTCAGGGTGCCTTTGTGAATGAGGAATTTATTATGAGGCTATTTGAGCTCTTATTATTGGCTGTGTGTGCAGATATTTCCCCACAGGAGGAACCATTAGGACTTTATCTGAATGCACTTAATGTTTCTATACGACACTGAAATGAACAACAATAGAACTACGACAACCGTTTTATATACGATCCTCCAATTCCTCCTTCCAGTTTTTCCTCCTTAAAGAATTTACGAATGTAGTGCCGCCTCCACGCGTCTCCTTGGAAAGTGTTGCTCAGAGAATTTGTTACTGTAATTACGTCAAGAGGAAGAAAAGAGCTGCGATGTTCCTCATGTCTCTTCTCTCCAGTGAGAGGTTCGAGGAGTGAAACGGCGCCCGGACGTGAGCGAGAGGGGGACGCAATCCAGCACCAGATTATAATCGTTTATAAAAACACAATGCTGTGAGGATGCAACTATTTCACTGGCGTCAGCGCTGGAACGAGGTGTGGAAGTAGTTTATTCTCTAGTTCGCTGGTTCTCAAACTGTGACACGTTTATCACTGGTGGCTCCAAACGGGAACTAATAGGATGTCTGGACCAGGAGGACCCCTTTTCCACCAGATTAGCTCTGGTTCTTGAACCGGTTCCATTCAGGATTCAACAACAGTCAACAATTAATAATCTTATTAATAATAAACCTGCCTCCTCCCTAAAATGTGCTATCATTGAGTGTCTCTGCACCTATTGAATGCTGTGTCACTTATTAGCCCTGAAACGGGACCTGGCTACTTCCTGGCAGTGTCCCGTTCACCATTTGATTATTTTTGTACTTTAAAGTTTATAACCTGTAGTTATAGGCTGCGGTGTAGTGAGGGAACATGGGTGTAATTCGATTATCTGATCATTAATCTGTAGTTTTAAATATAAGTTTGAACTTTTCTATCAACTGATGGTTTTTATAATATCTGGTTTTAGGAACTTTATTTGATTTTAAACCACTTTGACTGTTTGACAATTGTCATTAAAGTCAATTTCATTATTAGAACAACTACAATATGTTATTTGTAACAACAGTGTTTGTTTGAGGCCAGATGAAGGCACAGTACCACCTCCACCTGAGCCTGTGTGTGTGTGTGTGTGTGTGTGTGTGTGTGTTCTGTGGGGGTGTTTTGTTGTGGTGTCTGTCTGTGTGTGTTACCTGTGTGTGTGTGTGTGTGTGTGTGACCTTTGTCTGTGTGTGTGTGTGTGTGTGTGTGTTACCTGTGTGTGTGTGTGTGTGTTATGTGTTACCTGTGTGTGTGTGTGTGTGTGTGTGTTACCTGTGTGTGTGTGTGTTACCTGTGTGTGTGTGTGACCTGTGTGTGTGTGTGACCTGTGTCTGTGTGTGTGTGTTACCTGTGTGTGTGTGTGTGTGTGTGTGTGTGTGTGTGTGTGTGTGTGTGTGTGTACCTGTGACCTGTGTGTGTGTGCGTGTGTGACCTTGTGTGTGTGTGTGTTACCTTGTGTGTGTGTGTGTGTATGGTTACCTGTATGTGTGTGTGTTACCTGTGTGTGTGTGTGTTACCTGTGTGTGTTTTTTTTTTTGTGTGTGTGTGTGTGTGTTACCTGTGTGTGTGTTACCTGTGGGGTCATGTGCACTGTCCGACACGGTGTTAAACTGGGAGAGGAGACTCTGGCCAGTTGGCAGGCTGCTAAAGCTCTGGCAAAACCTGCTTCTTGATCTAAAACCTGGAAGGAGACAGAGAGAGTGAGACAGAGAGAGTGAGACAGAGAGAGTGAGACAGACATCAGGACATTTAAAGACACTGACAGTGAAACAACAAGCAGATATCTGTAGATACTGCGGCTCTGATGCTCTCTGACACACACATCAAAACTGCTCTGAGGTTAAAAGCTTCAGGGACTAAACATCTGGATAAACAGAATATTGCTCCACAATGAATTCATTATTGTTATTATTATTATTATTATTATTATTATTATTATTATTGTTATTAGTGGGAGTTGATTATCCTACATTATAAAAACAGAAGGAACAGGGATTAGTTTTTATTATTAATCACACACACACACACACACACACACACACACACACACACACACACACACACAGGTAACCAGTTAACAGTTTTAAACAAACAGCTCTGTGTTGTTGTTGTTGTTGTTGTTTATGACACAAACACAAACTCTCTCCATAAACTCAGTTTTATATCTTGTATTTATGAGTCCACCCTCCAGACTGTGTAACAGAGTCAGTATCTCACTATGTAACATCTATAGTGTGTGTGTGTGTGTGTGTGTGTGTGTGTGTGTGTGTGTGTGTGTGTGTGTGTGTGTGTGTGTAACAATGTGGCGTGTTAACTCCACTTAGCTTCAATCCTATTAGCACGCTAAACTACCGAGAGCCGTTACCTTCCCCGGGGCTCCTCTGGTCGCCGACCCGGTGAAGAGGCTCCGGAGGGCGGACTGCAGCGGCCGCCGGTACATGGCTCCACGGTGCTCCGAGTATCAGCAGCTAGAAGCGGGGGGCCACCGGACTGCGGCTCCCTTCACTGAAACCTTTGGTTTGGTAACGCCAGTCCCCTCTTCCTCCTCCTCCTCCTCCTCAGCAATGTCAACGGAATCTGTCCGACACAGAATGCTGTCCGACGAGAAACAAGGAGAAAAAAAGAGGTTCCGCCAGTTTTTATATTTCTATTTTCTTTATTCTGTATTTTTTATTGTGGATCGTATTTTTTACTACAACCACTAACTATTTAAAAACTATTTAAAATCAAGAAACACAATCTCCAGATGTATTTCTATATATTGTCTCTTTTTAAAACCTACTTAACCTATCTTCTTCGATTATTTCTATTATCTGTCTATTCTATTCTATTATTTTGTTATTTTTTTTTTATCTTAATCTATCTTTTGTCTACCTGTCTTGTCTATCTATCTGTCTGTCTATCTGTCTATCTGTCTGTCTGTCTGTCTGTCTGTCTATCTATCTATCTATCTATCTATCTATCTATCTATCTATCTATCTATCTATCTGTCTGTCTGTCTGTCTGTCTGTCTGTCTGTCTGTCTGTCTGTCTATCTATCTGTCTGTCTGTCTGTCTGTCTGTCTGTCTATCTTTTTATTTATTATCTATTATCTATCTATCTGTCTGTCTGTCTGTCTGTCTGTCTGTCTGTCTATCTATCTATCTGTCTGTCTGTCTGTCTGTCTGTCTGTCTGTATAGATATATACTTTACTGTTCTCACTGAACCAATTGAACTTTGATTGTAATGACACATGAAGAGTCCCGATCCCTCTGTTTGTATTTCCACACTGAGGTATTACTACTTTTACTTTTACTAAGGTAAAGTACTCTGAGTACTTCTTCCACCTCTACTTAGGGGTTAACACAGCGTCTCTATTCTTCCTACAGAGACTTACAGTATGTTGCATTGTACTTACCATAAATAGTTAGTGCTTCCTCCAATATTCCAATAGTTGGACCCATTCAACCCGAGGTCATTATCAGAATATTTTGATCTGAGAAAAATGTCTCGGTGTTTAGCTGCTCGTTGCTCGGTCAGATAGTTGCTAACCTTTTCTGTTTGTTGCTGGCTGTCGTGTACTCTTTTTAATAGAGGTTGAACCATGACTCAGACTCATCCATACAGTAAATGTTCAGGTCATTAAACAGTGAGTCAAAACAGGCTAAAAGTATCCACAGACCTGCAGGATTTCACATAATTACAAAGCTATTTGATTCAATGTTAATGCTCTCCTGTCAAAGGAACAGTCATCCTGAAGATCAGAGTGTCTGTTATGGCACACAGCTATGGAACGACACCAGGGCCACAGAGTAAGCAGGGCCATGCATGGCTGCCTCCACAGATTGATCAAAGCCATCCAGCCATTCAACAGCTTCCTGTTAAAGCCCCCCCAGTCCGACAGTCACAGTATGTAACGTATTTCTGCATGAAAGACTTGAGAAGATAACGCGTCAGCCCCATCATGTACAAACACTGTAGTCTGACACTCAAACCTGCGACACCGACTGTATGGAATACTTTCATTCTCACCCAGTGTTTTGCAGCTTTTGTTATTAATATTATTTGTACCTAAATCTATTAATTTCAACATCAAGGTCCACATGTTGAACTGAAACTACAGTAGGATAACATACTGTAGAGGATGTGGCATCAATAGTAGAGCCAACATAGAGGTTAGTAGCACTTTTCAATCATGAGCAACAGTAACAGTGGGTCGGGTCGCTGTGGCTGCAGGTCAAACAGGAAACTCCAGTCGTCCCTCCCCAGCAACGCCTTCCAGCTCCTCCTGCAGTGAGTTCTGGGTCTCCTCCTCTCAATGTGTGCCAGAGGAGCCAATCAAATGTCTAAACTACCTCAACTGGCTCCTTTCGATGCAACAGAGCAGCAGCAGCTCTACTCTGAGCTCCCTTTTGATGTGAAACTCACTTCGACCGCTTGTATCCGCGACCTCATTCTTTCAGTCACCACTCAAAGCTCACGACTACAGGTGAAGGTTGTTGAACGTAGATCGATGCTTTGCCTTCCGGCTCAGCTCCCTCCTCGCCAAAACCCTCACATCACTGCTGACACCGATCCGACTGTCTCACGCTCCATTTTTTTCCATTTCCACTCGCGAACAAGATCCTGAGGTACTTAAACTGCTTCGATTCATTCGCAGCAACTCACTCCCGACCCGACAGGAGTAATCCACCGTTTCCCCGAAAGAGAACGATGGCCTCACGCACTTGGAGGTGCTGACTCTCATCCTGACTGCTTCACACTCAGCTGTTAAACCTGCGAAGGTCATGGTCTGATGAACCATGTGACCTTATCTTTATGGAAATGTCTGATGACTTTAAATGCCTAGATGTCTGTAATTTACTGGCTCTTTAGACATGGCATTGTCACTCTGTTGGGAGGTCCACCATGTTTGTTCAGACACAACTATCTCAACAAATTGATTGATTGATTGATTGATTGCTGTGGAATGTGATACAGATATTCATGATCCCCAGAAGATGTATCCTAATGATTCAGGTGGTCCTCTGACCTTTTTCTCTCATATTTGTGGTATTAAGTGAAATGTCTCAACAACTATTTGATAGGCTACCATGAAATTTGGGTCAGACGTTCGTGTTCTCCTCAGGATGAACTGTATGATCCTCTGACTTTTCATCCACTGCCATCCTCACGTCAAACTTTCAATTCGTCCAATACTTTAGTTTATGACCAAAAACCTGCAAAACTCACATTCCCATCGGTGCTAATTAGCACATATTACAAGCTATAGTGCAGCTGGAGTGCAACAGAAAGACACTTCAACACCTTAGTCTCTGCAAGAAAGTCATATTCACTGTTTTTTAAAGGTCCAGTGTGTAACATTGAGGAGGATCTATTGGCAGAAATTGAATATAATATTCATAGGTATGTTTCCATTAGTGTATAATCACCTGAACATACAAATCATTGTGTTTTTGTTACCTTAGAATGAGCTGCAGGTGCTCTGGAGTCATGTTGAACCGCCATGTTTCTACAGTAGCCAAGAATGGACAAATCAGTTAGTTGCAATCTGAAACTTCACCACTAGATGCCACCAAATCCTACACATGGGTCTTTTAAGTGCTTGAAGATCCTATCATCACTAAATCTTATGTGACTGGCATTGAGAAGGTCAGTGTTTGTACCAGAAAAGGTCCCCAAAGGAAAAAAACCACACACGCAACACGCACAAACACACACACACACACACACACACACACACACACACACACACACACACACACACAGAAACTAGCATTACGACATGCTTAGGGAATGGGACCTCATGGCACATTGTCCAAATAGTGTTCATGGCCAGAAAATGAATCTGTAGTTTAGCAGAAAGACAAAAAGGCAGAAAGAAAAGCACACTGTTGTTGTTATTACACACACTGACATTCAGAGAGAAGTTAATATATTCTGATTTACTTTAATTTGCCTGGTTTCCCTCATTTTCAAATTATGTCAAAATGAACTTTCCTGGCATGCATGAAAGAAGAGCCAGTGCGGCAGCAGTGAATGTTCCTGTTATTATTTTGTGTTTTTCCAATTTGGCCTGTGTAGCCCTTTGATTCCTGAGTCACAGCTTGTGGACACAATCAATCACTGCTGATTAATGGATGATGATTGATGAAGAAATGATGTGTGTGTGTGTGTGTGAGAGAGAAAGAGAGGCACAGTGAGAGAAAACAGAAAAAAGATCAACGAGAGAGAGAGAGAGAGAAACTAAATGAAAGGGTGTGAAAGGGAAAAACTAAAAAAGGTCAAGTTGAGTTTTCTGGACCAGCAGTCTGGTTGAGACCTGAACCTTTGTGAGGAAATGAAATCAGCGGCTTTAGATTGATGCTGAACGTGAACAGTTACAATAATACTTCAGTGGTGAGTTATGAGACGCGACTGAGTGGGGTAACGTCAGGTCTAGCCACTGCTATTTCCTCGGCAGTCAGTCAGATGCTGTACTCCCTGAAGTGACCTCACCTGACACACACACACACACACACACACACACACACACCAACCTTTTCCCATCTATGACCTTGATCTAGCACTGAGTAACCCTCCCAGGAAGCTACCAAACGTCCCAGCAGGCTGCCTCTGTTCCAGATTAAATTTCATCTGTTTTAGAGTTTAGTTTTCAACCCACCACCACCAACATTAAAATTCTGGTGGAATCCCCTTAATTGGCATTCAGACTGTCACACTAGCAGTTAAAACGTTAGCACATTTGAGGAGCTAATATTGTACACAACATTCATTACACTGTTCACTGCTTATTTGACCGTTTTGCTCAGTTACTGTGAATCTTCCATTCTTGTAGGGCTCATATACAGTCTCTAATGTTAGCTGCAATCGTTAACATGCTGGGCTAACTGGGTTACTATCTACAGTAGTGTTACTTCCCTGCTGCTGCGGACTCATCCACAGTGTAGTATCGGATTTGTTTCACTCTCACCGTTCTCATTAGTGCCCTTTTAAAAAGCTCAAAAACTCTCACACTGTGAGAAGAGAGGGAATATTGGATATGTGACATCAAGTCTCTTTCTACTGGATGTGTATATAAGTTACTGTTTGCTAATAATTTTGCCTGCAATGTGACTGGATTACATACAGAGTCAATGCAAAGATGCAAATAGGCAAAATTTGCATAACCAAAACTGTGACGTTTTCCTAAACAAATAGTTTTGGTGGCTAAACCTGAGGGAGCTGTGACTTTTTCACAATGTTAACCACGTGTTATTTGGCTTTCTTACAGCGATGTAGGGCAGTAAATATATGGAAGTATGCAGAGTATACCCAGTGAGCACTGAGTGAATCCCCTCTGATGTACATCATTCAGTGTTCTTAGGATGGCGAAGGTATCAAATTGTTATCCAATTTTCACGATGGATTGCAAAATCTGCTCTTTAGGATTCTTACTCCCTAAAGTCATGCAGCAGAAGTTAACTGACAATATGTTTATACTATCAGCTCGATTTTGGGTGAACTAAATATGCTAGAGTAGACAGGCTTCCAAACTAAAAGCAGCATAAATCAAGAGTATACCCACTTCTTCAGGCACCATTACACCGCTGGATG